CCACTTCAACGACTTGGATACCATGTGTTGTATTGTTCTTTTGCATCCAGCTTTACTGAGAACCATGTTGTTGCCGTTCTTCATCAAGAGATGCGGTGCCACTGCTGAGTTTTTGTAATAATGCATCCTCTAATCAAGCATTAAATAAATAATGGAATATCTCTACCTTCATTAGACTGATGAACCCCATAGGGGTGCCCAAAAATTGACCCTATTCAACAAAATATCCCCTCCCTACTTTTTTTTTTCCCTAGAAAATGCTACCATTCCTCTCCTCCAACCAAACAACCCAAAAATTTGGCAACATACTACAACTCCACAAATTAGCCTCTTTTTTCCTTGTCCAAAAGCACAAAATTCGACTGCTGATGCACAAGAATACAGGATCACCCAAGCCAATGTTGCTCTCCAGAACAACATATTCCACAACCTCAAAGCAATGGGGCAGTGAAAAATAAATGGTCAACACTTTCAAATGCAACTTTACACATACTGCACTAATGAGGTGATAAGCTAATGTTCAGCCTCGTAGTTTGAATTACATCACAGATAATACATCTTCCAGAACTAATTATCCAAGCAAGTATTTGCACCTTGCAAGGAATCTTGGCCTTTCAAATCATCAAAGATGGGTTGGAAATGAGGAGTGAAACAAATAAGGGATTATTTCTCATCAATCAACTGGCTAAATTTCAATTTACTAGAAAGGATGATACATGTCTTATATCAAGAACAATTAGGAATTTGAAACATAATATCAGCATAGGTCATTGCAAAATATACCTTTCCCTTTATACTAGTGTGCCAGTAAATCATAACTAACCAACATTCACAATCCAAATACTAACAGATAAATGTAAGGCACAATCCCTATTTTGGACAGTGACACAGACAAAGAGGGCTGGGCAAGGGCCACTCTTTTAGATCCGTGCATATTTTTACAACTACGGCATCCTGAAAATTCCTTCATGTTTATACAGAACCCAGAAAGGCACATAAATCAGTGGCCTTGACATTCAAAATTTTCTTTAGGAAAAATCATACTTCAGGATGGGTCTTGTGATGTTCAAAGCAACATATATGCCAAAAGTGTAGCTCATAATAATGTAATCAATGTTTTCTAAGCTTGATTGGAATAAATAATGTAAAAACTAGTACAACTTTATGCATTCATCTTTTCCAGCTAGTGCAAGAAGTTCGGGAAAAATAGCCTTTGGCACTAGAGGGTAACAAATAACCACAACTTTCAAACATAACCCAGTTTGAATTATCCTAGCAGCACTAGCTAGAAGTCTTTATGTTTTTTTGGGTCGGAAATAGAGAAATTAGTTCAGCTTGAAAGCTAACAACTTTAAATGGCAGTTATGAAAACTGAGCGTCAATAATTGGACAGCAAGATTACAGATACAAATTTTAGGGCCTGAAAGCCATTCAAAAATAAAATTCACACAACTGCAAGTGAATCACCTAGTTATGTTCAACCTCTTTTGTTTTGATTTTTTGTCGGTCTAAGAATGTTCCAGTCCAGCTTTTCACCCTTTGGTTTCTTGAACGAGCCTTTACTTTTATTTGGTGATGACAGCTGATCACCTTGATCAACTTTGGGAGACTTGTTCGGATATTGTTTTCCATTAACTACTTCAGACGGTTTTCTTTTATGGTCTCCATCACGCTCACAATTCGACTTATCAGTATTTGAGCACTCTGCTTCATCCGTTGAGGACCCATTTTCTCTGTGGAAATGCAAATAGGAGAAAGAAGATAGGAGAGCAGAAACCAAAGTTTTTGGAAGAAATTTAGGCAACGTATATTTCTTAGTCTCAACCCATTGGAGCAAAAAAATTCTTTTACAGAGACAATAAATTCTTATAAATAAAACAAATAATTAAAGGACTGAAATGTCCAATCACCCACCTAAATGACCCTTTTTCATTTTGGATACCAGAAGAAGTGGCAGCAGGCTGACAAGGGTTTGCCGATGCTTCATTCAGTTTCTACCATGGAAACACTTTTATGTAAGGTGAACAAAAGCCAATCAAGAAGTACACAAGAAATTAATAGTCATTGGAAATCTTAAGGTCCATGAACCTTATACTCACATCAATCGATGGATTGAAACTTTGAAATGACATCCGCCCTCTAATTGCTCCAGGATGGGGGTCACCTTCCATTATGACCATACTGCAGCATGAGCACAGCCGTCCACATGAAGTAAGTCAAATTTGAAGAAAGAAGGTGGATTAATGTAACTAATGAATAACTATAGCAGGTAATGGCAATCATTTCTGGTTCAATGCACAGAGTTATCTTAATTGACGCCTTAGGGCATCTATTTTGAGTCATTAATGCCTTTGCATCAACATACTAAACGCTTCTGAAAAGGGTAACCTTATGAAAGCTAATTATGTAAAATTAGCCCTTCAAAGGGTAACCTTATGAATTTTTCCCTTTGGCAATTCAACAAAAAAAGTTCAAGAAGCGAAGTACTGCAAAAGACAATATATGCTTATGCCGGAGGTGGGCACAAAACTATAATGAAATTCTAATAATGCACACTGAACCTTAAAATTATATATTCTTTCATTAATGTAACCCAAGAAGTAAAACAGCTCAAATAGTTTGAGAAATATCAGAACAAGGAATAAACAGAAAGAAAAGCTACCACTTCCTTATTTGGCTGGCAGGGAAAATAAAATCGCCAGCAGGTTTGACATCTTCTTCTTTCTTCTCCTCTCTCTGAGTTGCTCTTTGCATGAACTACGGTAATAACCCAAAACAAAACAAAAAACCATATGCATTAATGTATTTGAAAAGCTAATTATGGGTTTACCAGAAAGTTAAAAAATTCAAAATTAAAGAACGCCAAGATGAATTTAAGCAAGCCCCTGATCAAATTTCACGTGGGTTTATCAAAAAAATACTTCAAACAGAAACTATACTGACCATTAATTTTTTTTTTTAAACAACAAAAAGGAAAAGGAGTGTGTTTCGTGTAGCTGTTTTCTTCAATTCTGTTACCTTTAAGTTCCTAAGCGTGCTGGAAAGCTCTCGCTTCGCCATATCAGCGTCGGAGTTTTTCCTCTGAAATCCAATTGAAAGCTCAAGGCTGTAACTTTAAGCTTGATTTCTCCGTGAAGCCTCAGTTTTGTCTCGCCGTGAAGGAAAGAAGCTTCCTTTATTTGTTCTCCAACTTCCGGAGGGGACTAAGAGGAGGAACAAGGGTTTTGTTTTGGGGAAGAATGGTAAATTACAGAACAAAAAGACAAATTTGTCCCTCGCTAGTGATGGGCTTCCTTCAGGCTAGCCTCTGGGCCAATCAGAGTACCAAATGTTACTGGCTCAGATCTGGACTGCAAAAGCCCAAATCAATCATCCGAATAGTAAGAGCATCCGCAATGGGCTCCCTAAACCACCTCCTTAGACAAATTTTAGGGAGGAATTGTAAAAATGCAACTCCAACCATGCTCCCTATCCACCTCCTAAAATAGGGAGTCCTCTAAGAGCTCCTAAATATGAGGAGAGAGAAAGGACTCCTAGTGGCTCCCTATAATTTAATGTTGCTTTATTTAATGAGTATTTCAAACCTTTATTTAATGCTAATTATTTTTTATTTTATTTTTTTAATAGAGATGGACCAATCGAAAAAGAGTTATAGCATTTATGACTCTCCAAATTAGAGAGTATGGTTGGAGTTGAAATTTTTTAGAGAGCTCCTAAAATAGCTTTCTTATATTTTTAGCTAAATTTTAGCTAAGAAATAGAGAGCATCATTGTGGATGCTCTAACTTCACTTAATTTTAATGAAATAATCATGTGGCTAATATGAAGGTCTATATGAGGGATCCATATATGGCACCATCACTATAGAATTTCGCCTCAAAATACTTGTGTAAGAGAGAGAGTTGAATTCAAGTAAGGTTTTTTTGTTGTTGAAAGGTTAATTACAAACTTACACCCTAAATTTTTAAGGTTGTGATTTGATCAAGTCTGAGATAATTGTTTAATGATTTAATAGTTCCTTTTGGTTTTTAAGTGCCAGTTTAGCATTGCTTATTTTGGGTAATAAGTGATTTTTAAAAAAATTTGGGAAGCCCAGCTTGTTTGGTAAACTATGAGAAAATCACTTGTTGTTAAAAATTTATTTGAGAGAAAATTATAAGGGAAAACAGCTAAAGAGGTTCTTTCATTTTCTGATTATGCTGGAATTAGTTTCGAAGATGTGCGAGATTTAATGATTATACATGAATCATTTTCTAATTATGCAGGAATCAGTACCAACAACATTTTTAACAAAAAATTTATCAAACGCCAAAATGCTTTCTCTTACAGCAAATCTGACAACGATTATTTTCCCTTATAAAGAACCAACCATCACCCATGTGAATTAAAACAAATTGGATTGGATTTAATTAAATTGTAATATTTGAAATCTAATGTACATTGGATTATATTCTAAATATTAAAATATTTGAATCCACGAACACCCTAAATAACTTTGTTTTTAAAGTATCATATGGGTCCCATAGAATAATGCTCGAACTCTGTCATATATTGTTCATACCTTGCGGTTTGGTTAAATTTAAAAAGTTAAAAGAGGCAAAATTCTTTAAAAAGCTCAAATTGGGCTATTTTTCATAACTTTTCGTTTCTTTTGGATTACAATTCTATGGTAATTAATTTTAATTTAGTGGTATTTGTCTCCAATTAATTGAAAGATGTGTTAAATTTGACTCACATAGATATTAATGACAAATATTTGTGAAGAGTTATTGTGTGGTGTATTAACCTGTTATCAAAGTATCTTGTATATATCATATCTTTTGTTAAAAAACAAAAACGGAGGAATTTTGTGGTGATGTGATTGCTTGCAAATTGAAATAAAAGAAAAGAAAATGCATTACAAAAAAAATTGAAGAAGAAGAAAACAAAAATAGTAAAAAGAAAAAAAGAAATTGAACCACTCCTCGTATTACACGAGCCACAAACCCACGAGGACCCGCTTTAGTTTTTCCATCCGAATCCAAGACTCTCTCTTAACCTATAAAAACCTCGGAACCCACCATCTCACAAAATTCACTGCTCAGGCTCAGAGACTCAGAGTCTCAGACCCAGCTGGCTCTCCTTAAGCAGCAAGAAAACCCAGCACCTCAACTCAACCATCATCCATTACAAACAAAAAGGTGCCCAGCTCTTCATCAAAATCCCTGCTTTCTGTTTTAACAGCATCAAAATTCAATAACTTTTGGTGCCTATTTTCTTCTGGGTCTTCTATCTTCAAATGCTTTTGTTGGTAGTCTGATAGTGGGTTTCTTCTTGTTCTCTTTGTTTCATTTTTTAAACAGACAGTGGGTTTCTTTTGGAAACACTTTTATGTAAGGTGAACAAAAGCCAATCAAGAAGTACACAAGAAATTAATAGTCATTGGAAATCTTAAGGTCCATGAACCTTATACTCACATCAATCGATGGATTGAAACTTTGAAATGACATCCGCCCTCTAATTGCTCCAGGATGGGGGTCACCTTCCATTATGACCATACTGCAGCATGAGCACAGCCGTCCACATGAAGTAAGTCAAATTTGAAGAAAGAAGGTGGATTAATGTAACTAATGAATAACTATAGCAGGTAATGGCAATCATTTCTGGTTCAATGCACAGAGTTATCTTAATTGACGCCTTAGGGCATCTATTTTGAGTCATTAATGCCTTTGCATCAACATACTAAACGCTTCTGAAAAGGGTAACCTTATGAAAGCTAATTATGTAAAATTAGCCCTTCAAAGGGTAACCTTATGAATTTTTCCCTTTGGCAATTCAACAAAAAAAGTTCAAGAAGCGAAGTACTGCAAAAGACAATATATGCTTATGCCGGAGGTGGGCACAAAACTATAATGAAATTCTAATAATGCACACTGAACCTTAAAATTATATATTCTTTCATTAATGTAACCCAAGAAGTAAAACAGCTCAAATAGTTTGAGAAATATCAGAACAAGGAATAAACAGAAAGAAAAGCTACCACTTCCTTATTTGGCTGGCAGGGAAAATAAAATCGCCAGCAGGTTTGACATCTTCTTCTTTCTTCTCCTCTCTCTGAGTTGCTCTTTGCATGAACTACGGTAATAACCCAAAACAAAACAAAAAACCATATGCATTAATGTATTTGAAAAGCTAATTATGGGTTTACCAGAAAGTTAAAAAATTCAAAATTAAAGAACGCCAAGATGAATTTAAGCAAGCCCCTGATCAAATTTCACGTGGGTTTATCAAAAAAATACTTCAAACAGAAACTATACTGACCATTAATTTTTTTTTTTAAACAACAAAAAGGAAAAGGAGTGTGTTTCGTGTAGCTGTTTTCTTCAATTCTGTTACCTTTAAGTTCCTAAGCGTGCTGGAAAGCTCTCGCTTCGCCATATCAGCGTCGGAGTTTTTCCTCTGAAATCCAATTGAAAGCTCAAGGCTGTAACTTTAAGCTTGATTTCTCCGTGAAGCCTCAGTTTTGTCTCGCCGTGAAGGAAAGAAGCTTCCTTTATTTGTTCTCCAACTTCCGGAGGGGACTAAGAGGAGGAACAAGGGTTTTGTTTTGGGGAAGAATGGTAAATTACAGAACAAAAAGACAAATTTGTCCCTCGCTAGTGATGGGCTTCCTTCAGGCTAGCCTCTGGGCCAATCAGAGTACCAAATGTTACTGGCTCAGATCTGGACTGCAAAAGCCCAAATCAATCATCCGAATAGTAAGAGCATCCGCAATGGGCTCCCTAAACCACCTCCTTAGACAAATTTTAGGGAGGAATTGTAAAAATGCAACTCCAACCATGCTCCCTATCCACCTCCTAAAATAGGGAGTCCTCTAAGAGCTCCTAAATATGAGGAGAGAGAAAGGACTCCTAGTGGCTCCCTATAATTTAATGTTGCTTTATTTAATGAGTATTTCAAACCTTTATTTAATGCTAATTATTTTTTATTTTATTTTTTTAATAGAGATGGACCAATCGAAAAAGAGTTATAGCATTTATGACTCTCCAAATTAGAGAGTATGGTTGGAGTTGAAATTTTTTAGAGAGCTCCTAAAATAGCTTTCTTATATTTTTAGCTAAATTTTAGCTAAGAAATAGAGAGCATCATTGTGGATGCTCTAACTTCACTTAATTTTAATGAAATAATCATGTGGCTAATATGAAGGTCTATATGAGGGATCCATATATGGCACCATCACTATAGAATTTCGCCTCAAAATACTTGTGTAAGAGAGAGAGTTGAATTCAAGTAAGGTTTTTTTGTTGTTGAAAGGTTAATTACAAACTTACACCCTAAATTTTTAAGGTTGTGATTTGATCAAGTCTGAGATAATTGTTTAATGATTTAATAGTTCCTTTTGGTTTTTAAGTGCCAGTTTAGCATTGCTTATTTTGGGTAATAAGTGATTTTAAAAAAAATTTGGGAAGCCCAGCTTGTTTGGTAAACTATGAGAAAATCACTTGTTGTTAAAAATTTATTTGAGAGAAAGTTATAAGGGAAAACAGCTAAAGAGGTTCTTTCATTTTCTGATTATGCTGGAATTAGTTTCGAAGATGTGCGAGATTTAATGATTATACATGAATCATTTTCTAATTATGCAGGAATCAGTACCAACAACATTTTTAACAAAAAATTTATCAAACGCCAAAATGCTTTCTCTTACAGCAAATCTGACAACGATTATTTTCCCTTATAAAGAACCAACCATCACCCATGTGAATTAAAACAAATTGGATTGGATTTAATTAAATTGTAATATTTGAAATCTAATGTACATTGGATTATATTCTAAATATTAAAATATTTGAATCCACGAACACCCTAAATAACTTTGTTTTTAAAGTATCATATGGGTCCCATAGAATAATGCTCGAACTCTGTCATATATTGTTCATACCTTGCGGTTTGGTTAAATTTAAAAAGTTAAAAGAGGCAAAATTCTTTAAAAAGCTCAAATTGGGCTATTTTTCATAACTTTTCGTTTCTTTTGGATTACAATTCTATGGTAATTAATTTTAATTTAGTGGTATTTGTCTCCAATTAATTGAAAGAGGTGTTAAATTTGACTCACATAGATATTAATGACAAATATTTGTGAAGAGTTATTGTGTGGTGTATTAACCTGTTATCAAAGTATCTTGTATATATCATATCTTTTGTTAAAAAACAAAAACGGAGGAATTTTGTGGTGATGTGATTGCTTGCAAATTGAAATAAAAGAAAAGAAAATGCATTACAAAAAAAATTGAAGAAGAAGAAAACAAAAATAGTAAAAAGAAAAAAAGAAATTGAACCACTCCTCGTATTACACGAGCCACAAACCCACGAGGACCCGCTTTAGTTTTTCCATCCGAATCCAAGACTCTCTCTTAACCTATAAAAACCTCGGAACCCACCATCTCACAAAATTCACTGCTCAGGCTCAGAGACTCAGAGTCTCAGACCCAGCTGGCTCTCCTTAAGCAGCAAGAAAACCCAGCACCTCAACTCAACCATCATCCATTACAAACAAAAAGGTGCCCAGCTCTTCATCAAAATCCCTGCTTTCTGTTTTAACAGCATCAAAATTCAATAACTTTTGGTGCCTATTTTCTTCTGGGTCTTCTATCTTCAAATGCTTTTGTTGGTAGTCTGATAGTGGGTTTCTTCTTGTTCTCTTTGTTTCATTTTTTAAACAGACAGTGGGTTTCTTTTGCTTGTATCTGTATATATAGAATCTATATGGGTTGACTAATATTCTTAAGTTTGGATTTAGATTGATAATTGGGTTTTTTAGTTTATTTTTTTTATGTTTTCTCATTGTTGGCTTATTTGACAGGCAATCAGTTCTGGGACCGAGTGAAAATGGTACGTTCTTTTATTTTCCTTGTATTTTGTGTTTTCTTAAATTGAAATTCAAAATAAAGTTAAGGACTTGATTGTGTTGGCAGTATAGTTTCTAATGGGTTAGCTTGAATGGAAATCATGGGATAAGGAGGAACGGTTTAATGCATGTCTGTAGGATAGAGGAGGTTTTAGTTTGGGAGTAAACCCAACTTGGCATCAGATTTTGACAATCTGACTGTTTAAAACAGTGATGGGTATCAGTTAATGAGCTTAGATTGCTATTTTGAGTGTTGCTTGCTTCTATTTCACATTGTATCCATTGATCTAATTGTTTTGAACTTGTTTGGCTGATAAATGTTATTCACTATTCTGATTATTTTTGTGTTACAGGCTCATGAAAACTATCGCATTTCTGCTTTTGAGCAGAGTTATCGTTGTTACCCTGTCTCGTTTATTGACAAGGTTTGAATTGTGAACCTGGAAAATTTACTAATTAATTTCTCACAAAAAAATTTCTCTAATTAAGTTGAAAGTTTTCCCTATGCCCTCCAAGTTATAAGTGAACTTATTCTTTGGCCAGCTTCCTAATTCTTAACACTGATTCCTCTTACTCTTGATCTTTTGCAGTCACATCTGGAAAAGGGTGATAAAAGTATGTTTATCTGCCTGACTGGTTCTTTTATACTATCCATGGCATCCTCTATGCTCATTTGCTTGATAGTGTTAAATACTTAATTATTTGTTTGTTTTCTTTGTCCTTCCAGTTATAATGCCTCCCTCAGCTCTTGACCGCCTCGGTAAATTGATAATTTTCTCTCTTATTTGTCCTTCTGTTGCCAATTGGATTTTCAACTTATGTAACCCTGGGTCCTGATATATATGATGTGCCAACTAAATACGAGCTTTTCTTCTCCAGCATCTTTACAGATCGACTACCCTATGTTGTTTGAACTTAACA